CAAGGTACGGGATAGTTCTAGAAACGTAGCGTCACACTAGTCATGTGACTCGCTGACGCAACACAAGAAAACTTTTCACACACAAAGTGGAGTAATTGTCAGTTGCGATTGGTTGAACTGTCACACACTGCATGCTGTATTTTGAATAGAAATGTTACTAATGTGGAGATTTCTTCTATGGTGTGAACATATTTAGAGGATTTTCAAGCAGTATTACAGGTACCTTGGAAGGCAGGCTGTGAATTGAGCCTTGTAGTTCAGTGTGTGCAGCTAGAATTGTTTGTGCCAATCTGTACTCGTAGTGTGCAGCGCGTGCCTCGGGAATGAAAAACCATTGTGTGTGTATGTTCGGAAGTTGAACTGAGCCGGCAGTCCCAATCAACAAATACGTGAAAATAACACTGCAGTTATCACTTGATTGATAATATTCTCGCAATGCTTGCATTCCGTTGCATCTTCCTGGTTCAACGGTGAAATGCTCGTGCAAGGCAGTATGTAAAGCTATGAAGTCTGAAATAATTTGGCTGTTCGAAGACGACCGTTAAATTTGTTTACTGTCAGTGTATTTTTTTTATTCACTTGTAGGAAAAATTTTCATCTTGTAGACCCTTGTCTTATTTTTCTGTTACAGTATATTTTACAGTGTTAAGAACCATACTTTAATACATAGTTTAGTTTCTTCTGTTTATAAAGTACACTTTTGAATTGAGATTGTACTAAATATGGCACTGTAACAGCCTTCTAAATGACCTTTTTTCTTTTCTTAGCTCCTCTGGTTGGTGGAGTGTTGGTACAGTGGGTGGGATTTCCTTGGTTAATCAGAAGTTTGGGTATTCTGAACATAATTTATTCTCCTCTTTGTTTTCTTCTCAGGAAGGCTGAATCAAAAGAAGAAGATAAGGTATGTTGTGTTCTTAAGTCAAATATCTTACCTTTTTAGCTTCATAGTAATGCTGAGCGAAAATAGTTTTGATTTGCAGAATAAGACTGAGCCAAAAAGTTTAAGCAAGCCAAAATTAAAAGGATTAAGGAAAACTTCGACTTAATGTTAAAGATTTCTCCATTAGAAATGTTGTCTTTAAGAATTTGTAGCTTATAACCAATTAAAATTTTTCCTATAGCATGTACAGGTCTTGATATTTATTATTTATGTATTAAGTATAAAAGAATGAAATTGAAGAGGAGTTAAAGTAAGTTTTATTTGAGCAAGTAAATGTTATACATTTAATGACACGTTTGTTCCCATAATAACAAATTATGGGGGTGGTCTTTTTGTTTTAAGCCCACTAGATAGAAAGGTGTGCTCATCTGCCAAATTGTGGTGATAAGTTTATTCCCATAATTCAACCGGATATAAAAAGCGTTATAAATGTATTTTTATGTGTATATCTATATGAAAGTAACTGGGTTATTTTCACAACGTAAACAAAACGGGGAAAAAATATTTAAATGCTTTGCATAGTTAGGAGATCCTGATTCTTATTAGTGAAAATATGGAGACCGAACAAGACACTCATCTAATAACTTTATAAAGTTCGTGGACATGCATTTATTTTTATAGAAGTCGTTTGCTTTTTATTTAAAACTTTGCCCTTCCAAAAAGTTGCTATATCAACGTAATTTTGTAAATTTTCATGATAATGCCACTAAGACTACACCAGGGCTTCGAGCAAATTCTGCGTAGGCTAGTAACTGAAACTTGTTAATAAGGACAGATGGCTTCTATGTCTGTTCCTTAGGAAGTATTGAAACGATACATTATCTACACTAGCCTTTGATTATAACTACCCAGGTGTCTTTGTTATACGGCAGTGTAATAAACGTGATACAGATTAGCCAATATTATTTGGCTGACTTTAGTTTTATTCGTTTCTGATGCTGGTTTCTTTACTTGCGAGAGTTAACCTTCACAGATTAAAGGCAGGAAAATGTAAATTCTGCAATATAAGTATATGCGGTAATAAAATGCGGTATGTATGTTACGAAATAACGTTTTGCAGAGTATTTCCATGTAAGTTTTTATGCGGGTAAAATGTTTTTGATTATGTCATAAGTGTGTCTGTGTGTGTGTGTGTGTGTGTATATATATATACATACATACACACACACACACACACACACGCACACGCACTGTTTTATCATATTGCATTCAACAGATGTTAACAGTAAACTTGTCAAAAGGCGTTTCAATTCCTTTCTGTAAGATGAAATTTTGTAAAAAGGGTTAACTTTAACAGGGAGCTGTAAATCTATAACTTTTTTAAAAAATACTATTAATACATTATTAAATTACAATTAAACTTGTAATATTTCTTGTTAGGCCTATTATATAATATGTTAAACACTACATTCTTTATCTAGTCCCCTTAACGATTTTAAAAAGTTGTGGTATAATAATAGTATTCCAACTTCACGACATTTGTCAAATCCATTGTCGACAACACATTCGCTCAATCTGTAGCTCTTCAGGCAGACTGGGATACATACGCAACACTGGTCGGAAAACTATTTATATAAGCCGTTTGATACAACAACCTATGATGTGTGCGTTTTTAACAAGCCGGCGAAGAATGATTAGAATAATACTTGACAATACTAGTAAGTTTAGTGAATTTTGCACTAAACAATTTGAGAGCTATTTTCTCTACTCATCCCTAATTTAGGAGTGGTAAACTAGAGGGAAGTCAATACCATCTGCCTCCAACTATTGTACTACTTTAATTGAATCACTTAACGCACTAAGGGGCTTGCTGGTTTTGTTAAGCGCAAAGTTACAGAATGGGTTATCTGTGCTGTGTCCACCACGAGTATCGAAACTCTATTTTTAGCGTATAAGCCTTCAAACTTATTGCTGAGTCACTGGGGCAAAAAACACAATTTAGCACATTGTGTTGCTCTGTGTTTATCTGTATCCTGCTCATCGCGGATATCAAAACATTAAAAACTTACGTTACAAGTCCTCAGTCTTATAATTATTCACCTCACCCTTGGAGAGGGTATTTGAATTGGGTTTGTATGTGTTTGTCTGTGTTTCCGCACGCGTATCTTGAAAAATAATAGACCTATGTACATGAAAATTTACACTAAATAAGAAGTCAGTATGGGACAGTTTTCCACAAATTCTGTCTTGATCCAGATCACTTTGAAGCATTTTTTTTATATTGGGGAGATAGGGCATTTTCGCGGTTTTGGGTTAATAATTCTGTAAAGTGTGATCGGACTTGTGCCACAGTTCATGGGCACATTAAGGTTGAGACTCCTCATCACACTACAAAAAATGTTCCGGATCATGATAATTCTGGGTCTGAGAAGGATTTTCTGAGTTTTCGAATGTAAAATTTAACGTTATCCAATATACATGCAAATACTTGTTGGAATTATCACAAAAATGGCAACAATTCTATGCTAGGTAATCTTTTAATGTTACAATCGCAGCTATCACATTACTTAAAAGGAAATGGAAATTCTCCAAGTTGGAAAAATATTCTATAGTCACAAGTGAAGAATTACGTTGCATTGTGTAAGTATATTCGTATCTGTGAATGATAAGATTTAATATGTTATTCCTTTTAGTTATAAAATAGGGGTAAGTGTCTTATGTTTACGGATTAGAACCAAGGTTCGACTCTGTAATATGCAGATGACCAAGTTTCTCACTTTCAGATGTGAGAGCGCTATTAAAAAAAAAGTAGCTGTATAGGTGACGGTTGCTGCTGGTTGGTTGTTCCCTCAATTGAAGACAGATATTCTTGTATCTTTGGGTCCTGGCCTGTCATTTAGCTTACTGTTTTGCGTAAGAACTCGTTCAGGTTTAAATATCAATAACTCTTTGGATATCTTAGTTGCTGAGGAAAACGCTGTTTTAGTTAAAATATCAGCTTTTCACGATTGATGTAAGAAAAACGGAGCCACAAATACGAAGTTTAACTTTGAAATCAATCCTTTCTACCCCCTCAAAAAAGGCCATTGCAGGCAACTTTTGCAAAACACGTTATAAAGTATTTAATGATACAAAACAAATGATTAATAATGATAGTAAGATTATGTAATAATGTTTGTGATGTTATATATTTTAAATTCGAAGTTTTATTTTACTTTTTCAAAACAAACTATTTACTTTGAAAAAAATATCTTTCGAATGTTTAGCTCATATATAATTTAGCAAATAACTATGTATAAAATGTTAAGTTTAAATACAGATTAAGGAGCTACGTTACGTTGGGTGGACTGAGGTTGAATACTGGATCGAATTTGTTTCACTCTTTCTCAAATTTACTTACTTAACATATATACAATAAATTATTTTGTATGTATGGGTTTGTTTTTTATAATACTTTGAATAAATGTTTTAGCACAGTTAAGTTGATACTAAAAAAAAAACAAACTAAAAACTAGAGTCGAGATAAATCTCTAAAGCTGTGAATTTCTTATTAGCCTATCGTGATGGACTCCTCCCTGGAAGAGAGTTACCAATCGATAGGAAAG